GCTCTTGAGGAAGGTCATTAGCAGGTGGGGGTGTGTAGATATTTTTTGCAGGCTTCCAGGAGCATTCTTTGGGACCATAACCTCCCATACTCCATGCTCATGTTCACTCTCATTGAGTATGTGTACACAAGGTTAGAATCACACCCCTAGCTCAGTATAGATGTGCCCAAACACTGCCAAAGGCAGATAAGAGATTGACTAATATCCCCTGTTGCTCTTTCACTTCTGTCCATTGCCCTGGGGAGGTCATTCATCAGAGCAACCAGTGCTGTTTCTGTACCATGTCCCACCTTGGAGCCAGAAAGAGAGGGATCCATGATATGAGTGGAGGCCAGGTACTGCTGGCATTGGTTCGTTACCACTTTTCTTGATGGCATTATGCAGGATTGAGTGGTTTGAAGCCAAATGGTAGTTAGTAAGGGTACACTGGACTGTTGCTGTGTTTCAAGGCACCAGTTGGTGTCCTTTCTAATGGACATTGAACAATTTCTTTTCAATAATAGCCAGAGGCATTGACCCTGACCAGCCAGCTGGGACATGGCTCCAGATTGGAGGTGATTGTGGACCCCTTTAAATGCTTCTAAAGCCTCCTCCCAAGGGGACTGGGCCCAAGTCTGTCAGGGATTAGAAATCAAAGATTTCCAAAACAGCCAGCTCAAGGTCTTGGAAAGCCTGAAATTTGTGATTTCTACATGGTGATTTCTAACTGGAGCATTTTTCTAACGTCCCTTGCAGAGTTTGCATGGAAAACTGTAAAAAAACATTACATATAGCAAACAGAGATATATGTACGTGTCATTTTCTATAACTCTCTCCCCTTGGTCTTTATGAATGAGGGCAGCTGCATGGAAACGAGAGATGGGCTAGGTCTGTAAAGGTCAGACCTGAATCCAAATCTTCCAAAGTTCAAGGGGATGTCAAGGAAAATTCAGAGCTTTGGATGAGATGCTGGCCTCTCCCTTGGGTCCCACAAACAGATGAGCTAGGATTTCAAGAGATGAAGAAGGCAAACAATAAGAAATAATAAGCATGTGTCCTCATTCTACCTAATTATGATGAAAGTTACTGTAGTAGCAACAGCAATAGCAGCAGTAGCAATAGTATTAATGCATTACTTTATTTGCTTGGCTTTGCAATCTGAAATAGAAGTGCTACCAATCCATGGAGACTGAATTCAATCCATTGCTACAAGTTCACCCATGTTTGATTACCAAACTGCATTTATAGCGCTTCAGTCATCTCCATTATCCACTTAGCAGTAGGGTCCTATGTAAATCCAGTCTGAGAACCAGTCCTGTTACAGTCAACCCAGGGGTATTTTCCCCATTCACACATATGTTTCTTCTGTAGACATCACACACTTCCATCCACATCCTATAATGCTGTTCACTTAGCGCTAGATACACAAAGAGGACTTAGGTGTTGCAATGCTGAACCTAACTGTATGTGCCCCACTGCCTAATGAGTTAGGCGGCCAAGCTCCCTACACAATGTATGGGCAGAGTTAGGTCAGGTCTAGACTACATACTTACTTGCATACACCGCAGAGCGACGTAGTTATACTGACCACTGTAGACAGTGCTATGTCGATGGGAGACCTTCCCCTGCTGACATAGCTACCGCCCCTCGTGAAGGTGGAGTTATTAAGCCAACAGGAGAGCTCTCTCCCATTGCCTTAGAGCATTTTCACCAGATGCACCATAGTGGCGCCACTGCACAATGTAAATTTGTAGTGTAGACCTGCCCGGAGGCACTTAAGAAAGGGAGATCCACAAAACACAGCACGTTCAACAGGGAGCTACCTAAACTAGCCAATAGGGAAATGCCATTGAGAGGGGTGTGGCCTAAACCCCACTCCTCAAAAGGAGTTAGGCACCTATCTCTGCTAGGGATTCACAGCCAGGAACCCTCTCTTGGAGTTAGGTGCCTAAGCCCTTTTGTGCAAATGTGGAGCAGGAATTTGAACCCACACCTCTCAAGAGGATGCCCTAACACCTGGGCTCTGGGGTATTCAAAGGAGTGGAAGGGGAGGCTCCCTCCATCTCTCCTGTTGAAACTGTTCCACTTTGTATAAATAATGAACTAGTCATTGGTACAGGGAGTTGAAGCTGGGTCTCCCGCACCCCGGGGGAGTGCCCTAACCACTAGGCTATGGAGTCATTCTCACTCTCTTTCCCTGGCCCAGTGAAGAGTGGTAGGACTGAAGCAGCTGTGCTCATTCCCACTGGCAGAGTTTTAGTACCTAAAGGACTTTATCTGTGGAAACGTAGGCACCTCAGGCCCTTGGGCAGCAACTAAGTGGGGGATCTGAGGATCTGAAGTACGAACTTGGGTGCCTAAGGTGCAGTTAGGTGCCTAAATCCTTTTGTGGACCTAGGCCTTATTGTAAAGAGCTTCCTGTCTGGCTCAGGAATAAAATGGTCGCTGGGTCAAACCTGAAAGTTCTCCACACAGAAATGGAGCATTAAACATCCTGGGAGAGTTTCTGTTCTGTGCCTTACAGGAGGTGCAGCAGAGAAGTAGCAGCCCAGAGGTAGTGAGGGAACGATCCCAGGCTAGTGAGGGCTGGTGCACCTTCTTGGCATAAATGAGAGAGCCTCAAGGGCTGCCCAAATTTACAACAGACTCCCCAGTACAGCCAGGGGCAGAACCACATCCTGGAGCATCCCACAATCTCTGTAGTGCTCAGCACCGGGAAGATTTCTTCTGACACTCCTGACATGCCTCATGTAAGGGGGCAGCATACATCTGATTATGTAAAAAGCAACAGAGGGTCCTGTGGCACCTTTGAGACTAACAGAAGTACTGGGAGCATAAGCTTTCGTGGGTAAGAACCTCACTTCTTCAGATGCAAGTACATCTGATTATGGTTTCCCTTAACTACTCCTGCCTCACAGAAAATTCTCCCCTGGCCTTTGCAGATCAGGTATGGCCCCTATAGACCGACAGAGTGGCCTATCCATTTATACAGTGCACAGTCATTCCAAAGTTGCCCAAACTCGTTACAATCTACACATACAGCAGTCATTTCACAACACTGAAATGCAGCCAACTCTGGGGTGGGAGGACATTAGCCAGCGTGCACTACATAACAGTGGTGGAAATGGAAATTTTTCCCAAGCTAACTGGGGAAAAGTCTACCCTTACAAAAACCACCATGAGATCTTTATCGTAGCTACCGAAAGCAGACAAGTCCTCAGTTTTTAAAGTCAGATAACTGGGCCATCAGTCTGACATACTGGTTGCCTGATCAATCTGTTGTTAACCATCCGTAGTCTTGAAATATTTTGCTCTAACGTGAGCCCTGATACCTTTATTCTACTCAACAAGTACATTGAGAATGGTGAAGGGGAGGAGGTTACGCATTTTTTTTTGTTACACTGCAGAGTTTTAGAATCAACATTTGAAGAATAAACCACCATAATAAATGTTTGCCCCGGGGTCCCCAAGCTCTTGCTACTTCATTAGCTAGCATTGTTCTCCAGGGAGTCATTTTTCACTCTGAATCATTCTTGGTATATTGCAGCTCTACTTTGGGAAGGAAAGAAGCAGCTGCCACTGGAAGCCTTCCACAAAGTCCAATGATTCAATGCCTACCTTCCCATTTGGCAAAAGTCTCCGTATCTCCACCCGATCTAAATGCCATCCAGAATTAAGCCCTCCTCCTCTGTGCCCAATACGAATCTTCTCAATCGTGTCTCCAACATCCTCTAGCTATGGAAACAAAAAATAGATTATGAAGTGAGTAATAGGCGGCAGCCTCAATTCCTTTACAGCTAAAGCCAAGATCCACTGATTCATTATCCATTTTTTTATTTTCAGTCTATATTAAGTTCCCAAAGGGGAAAATATTAGCCTCACTGTAGCATCCATATGCACGTGGAATGAGAGGCTCCACATTGTTTTTATTCTGAAATAAGTGTGTCCACACTGACTTGCACTGAAATAACTACATGTTGGGAACAGACTCTGTTAAATAGGTGCAAGTCTGTGTGTGGAGCATTTCCTCAAGCTCTTCAGCTGGAATGGGAATTGAACCAATCCTCAGAAGCTGTAAGTTTACTGTGGTTTGATTTTTTTTTTTTACAGCTCTGTGTTAGATTATTGATACATGATTATAACAGGGGAAGGAGGGTCTTGAAATCAAAGCACAAGATTGAGAGCCCGGAAATCTGCTCTCTCTTTCTTGCTCAGCAACAGACTCTGACTGCCACTTTGAGCAAATCACATAGATCAATATTTTAAATAGCCACTCATTTTCTGATTGCCCCTTTAGCCACTTATATTCTGAAAAGAAGGCTGTAAACATAGTTGCACCAAAATAATGAAATTGGTTTGGATTTGCACTTTCTGTTATTTCGGTGTCAGCTTGAGTGTAGATCAGCACTGCCTGAATGCCTCCTTTTCACATGGGAGGGGCCTGCTAAGCTAGCGTTTTCCCTACAGAGATTTGTATACCAACTATTTTTTCGATCTTGCAAATGTTTCAAGTTTCCGGGGATCAATTTAGTTCCCCTACTGCTTGCCCCCAACATGACAAGACTGTCATGTACTGAAACACAGTTAATTTAATTTCAGGGAATTCAAATAGACTGGTTGCTGCAATTCAGGGTGTGGTGCTGCAACAGAACTGGTTAGGGAAGCTTGCATGAGGTCTGCATTCACTCTACCTGAGTTGACTATAATATAATAATAATAATAATATAATAATAATAAATGGAGATATCCCATCTCCTAGAACTGGAAGGGGCCTTGAAAGATTATCAATCTCTTACTAGCATAAAAATTCAAATTCTCTGAATTCATCCAAAAACATTAATATAGGTGCAACGATGTTATTTTTCCTCTGCACTGCCTGAATAACCATCCTTCAATGAGGCATTCAATCTATACATAGCAGTGAAGTGGCATGTGACTGTAAAGATGGGTATTAAAAAAAGATGTGTTTATTGCACCGCTTTAGGCATCTCCAGAAAATCACCACTCAGAACTGCAGCTGATAATGGTTTTTTTAATGCTTTTATTGCCCCTTCTGCAGAATACCAAACAGCACCGGCAGTAAAACCACTAAAACAAAAAGGCAATTCTCAGCTCTGTATTTTCTGAAATCCCAGCATTATTTTCAAGGTCTACTGAGCTTCAAATTATGGCTCCTCATGAATAGGTGAAAGAAGAATATAATTTGCTGCTTTTGTTGTTGTTGTTGGGTAAAGAAAAAAATAAATGTTGGGGACCAGTTAATATCTCCTTCTAAATCCACAGAACAAACTGCATTTTCATGTACTTAGTCTAAAACGCATTGATGTCTCAGCTTCTTCTAAAGGGAAAATAAATCCTAAGGATTACAACATTAAAATAATGTGCAGTTCAAGATTTTTTACACATGGATTGATTAATGGCAAACTCCATCATGGACAACTCCAGGGAAACTCCATGGAGGTAAGTTCTGTTCTTTGAAAGATGTAAAGAGGAGAGTTTATTGTGATTTGTGTCCTAGGACAACAATTTGAGGTGAGAATATTTTAATTTGTTTAAAAATGTTCTAAAGGTTTGGTCTTGATTATTAAAAAAATACCACCACAAGAAAACAAAAAGAAACACAAAAAGGTTTTAAGTCCTCTGGGAACTTAGTCTCTGTGGTACCCAGTGGATGAAAATATCAAACAGAAATAATATATAGGGCCAGGTTTTTAAAACACCTCCGTAACTTGCAGTATTTGCCAATTCATAACCTTGGGTATGTATTGGCTTCAGTGAGAGTTTGCTGTGAGCAAGGACTGTTGAATCCAGCATTGCATGTGTCAATGGGCAGTTAGCTACATAATGTATCTTTTGCATGCACTAATGTATGTGTTTGCAAACACATCAGAAATACATCAGGCTCTTTGAAAACTTGGTCCAACATATTCTGAAATCATAGCTCCTACAGTAAGGTAACAGATCCTCTATATATTCCTACACAAACATTAGGCATTATGGACCAACTTTTCAAAAGTGCCTTCTGAAAGTGCACCTACAAAATGGTGCATATAGATCCCCCATTTGGGCATGCAATTTCAGACATTACCTTTGGTTCTTAGAAGGGGTTTCCTTTTGAAATATTGGAGGGACAGAGAGCAAGCGAGAATATGTGTAAGTGTGCCAGAGAGAGAGGAAGAGAAATTATAATTGACTAAAGGTTCTAGATGAGGCCATTAGCAAGCAATGGCAGGGGTTGCTACTTATCAATCATATGTTGCTCCTATTACTGTATCTGTGCTCCTTACAGTGCTTTACATGTATTTATCCTTGTAACATGCAGTGAGATAGGGCTATTATCCCCATTTTATAGATGGGGACCTGAGGTGCAAGTGTAACCCCGACAGACCCCGGTCTGTCCGTGGACAGGATCGAACCTGGGGAGCTTAGTGCATGAGCCTCTATCGCATGAGCTAAAAGCTACATGGCCCTTAGCTAACGCTGTAGAGCAGACTCATTAATCTCTCTCTCTCAAGTGGTCTCGGTGCCACTAGATGGGACAGAACACCACACCCAGGCAGTGTGTGGGGTTACATACTTCCCCTAGCTGAGGAAGCATGTCCCAACCTTCAGAGTTCCCAGCTGAAATCCTGGCCGAGACCCCATTTGTAACACCAACAGACCCCGGTCCTTGGCAGGCAGGATTAAACCGGGAACTTCTGGAGCTTAGTGCACGAGCCTCTACCGCATGAGCTAAAAGCCAACTGCCTCTTAGCTAATGCTGTAGAACAGACTCATTTGACTCTCTCTCTAAGTGGTCTCAGTCCCACTAGATGGGACAGAAAACTACACCAAGAAGGTGTGTGGGTTACACAAGGAGGCTTGGTGATTTGCCTAGGATCATACAGGAAGTCTGTAGCAGCACTGGGACAGAATCCAGGACTCCCAAGTCCTAGGCTAGTGCCCTAACCACTAGACCATCCTTTCTCCCCCACAGCAGTACCTGCACAAGTCTCCAGTGAGGAGAGAGGTAAAGAGTAGCATTGGGCAAGTAATTGATTTTTTGGTTCAGTGGAAGTTCCAAAAAACTGGAAAAAAAATTCTGTTTGGGCTGAAACACATCTGAAATTTTTAGACTATCTGGTAAATGGAAAAAGTCTGCCTGAGGTCTATTCCAGAAGAGGGATTTGAACACAGAGCAGAGATTCAAGCCTGGTTCTCCACATGAGTTCCCTAACCACTGGGCTAAAGGTTACAAGGGTCCAGCAGCACCTCCATCTTTTCCTTCTCTGGCCACTCTGTGAATGGCCAAAACAATTCATGTCAAATTCACAAATAGTTTCAGGTCAGCCAAAAATGAATCTTTTGTCCGGAATTAGTCATCCAAAAATTTTCGCCCAGCTGTCATGAAGAGTCCTTTTTCAATTTTTTTCCACTCCATTTTGTGTCCCTAAACCCCTCACCCAATCATTGCTCCTGCAAAAGAGCAAATATTTTTTATTTTACCTCCACAATGAACTGATCCACTGAGTTCCTCTCAAAGCACAACCTTTGCTCTCTCTTGTTCTGGCACAGGGATTTCTGTTGACTGCAGACCCCATTACTTCCATAGAGAACAATGAAAACATCTGCATCGGTGCCAGCTCCAAAGATGTCACTGGTGTAAACTGTGATCTCGTAAGGGACAACTAAGTTAAACAGAGGAAAACAAAAAACAAACCACGGGCTGTGAGCAAAAAGCAAGGCTTCCAAGTGGGAAAGTCTATAATTCATTTTAGAATTTAACAAACTCAAACCTAGATTAGAAATTTACAAAGCATCATTAGGAATTCTACACACACAAGTTATGCACAATTAACTGTTACATTACGTTGCAAGTCATGAGGCTGGATTCTGATCTCAGTTACACCAGCATAAATCTGGAGAACTCCATTTAAATCAATGAAGCCAACAGAGCTACTCTGAATTCATACTGATTTACTGAGGTTGGAATCTGACCCATTGGATTTAATCCTGGGAGTCAAAAGAGCTCTGAATATTTATACTGCAAAGTCATGGAAACATGAATCTCCCACAGTACGCTGAGTCTTGAAAAGCCTCAGAAGATTTTTGAGTAACTAAACAAACTGGCAAAACTGAACTAGCTGGAGCTGGTATGAAAAATTCTATATAAACCTCATTAAAACTTCTGGACTATTTTAAGTATTAGCTTGCAGAGGAAACATCAACCAGGGGGGTGGGTGGGGGAATGTGAACCCGTCTCTCGCTTTAAAGAACTAATTTCCATTTCACTCTTTTATCTAGTGTTCTCTTGAGGCCAGATTCTCCAATGCCCTGCACCTTGTCCAGTTACCTACAGTAGTGCAAAGCGGGCATAAAATGCTACCAAATTAGAATTGTGACTACACGGTGCAGAGCAACAATGAATTGGACCCTTTAATCCTTCCTTGTTCCTACTTTGGTCTCTCTAGAATTTACTGTTGCCTTTAATTCTATACTTCCTACAGTTCTTTCTTATTCTTATTCCTTTTCGGCCTCTTCCTGATGTAAGAAATAGACTAGCCCAGGATATAGGGGACTGGCCTGCGGGGGCCACAAGACCAGGACAGATTCCTGGCTTTGCTACTGACCTGTTACATAACCTTGAGCAAGTCACTTCCCCTCTCTGTGTCTCAGTTTCCCAATGTGGAGAATGATATTTACTCTCTTTTGTTCAGTGGTTTGAGGTATATGGATGAAAAGTGCCCAACAAGAGCTCAGCATTAATATTATTGATTTTATTTCAAATTATTAAAGGCCTCTTTGCAGTTCTTGAACCCTAATAGAGATCATCTCTTTGCTGACTCACACTTAGGATGCTACCGGTCTCCGTTAGAGTTGTGCAGAATTGGCCCATACAGTTACCATGGCTTCTATTTCTTCTATCCCTTCTCTGTCATTCTGGCTGGCCTTCTGTTCTCTTTGGTTTACCTGTTCATGTATAGCAAACCCCACTTCAACCATCCTCTTCCTTTTTCTATGCATCTTTCTGAGCTGCTTATAATCCTGTGCTCTCCCACACTCCACCCCTTTCAATATTCGTTGTTATGCTTTATGTTACAGTGCTGGCAGTTCTAGGACTCAGCATCCTAGATCAGAACAGATGGCATATTTCTGGCACCACTTCTATTATTGCTGGAGTAACTGTGATTATGCATATCAGAGCATAATCATTCATTAACTATCCAGGCTTTCTAAACACAGCTCTCAGGAGAACAGAGATGAAGAAGTTTGATTTTAGAGACAATCAGCCTGAAGGTACTTAATATTCTTTTTTGCCAGAACCAATGAAACCTATTCGCCTGTGCTGCAGATAAACTGAAATCGTTTCCTGCAATATGTAAAAATAAAGAACTAATCCTGGAGACCAAAATCGCCTGCTATGTGTTATGAAATAAAAATGATCTGATCTTCTCAAGTCTGCTATGCTTGGGTTTTTTCATTTGAATATTAACATCAGCTTAGAACTGAATCAGCAACTCAGCACTGTAAGAAGGTCACAGCTCTCAGCTGTCAGAATCCCCTTTCGTTTTCAGGTTGTACCCCACAGGCACTGTTTTAACGGGCACAACAATGACAGGTTTTCATCCTCCATGCTCAGGGAAATAATTTGGCGTGAGCGATCAGGAGACATGTCAGACCATTTTAGTGGCAATCTGAAATCACTATTTTAATGGTTGGGAAATTAGAATACTGTGAATAGTACAACGGGTGTATTTACGCACATGTGTATTTACGCTTGGTTCTAGCGCCTTGCAAGTCTCCTCCTGCATAGCCCTGATTGCTGGTTCCAGATGCTGCAAAAGGGCTGCTGACATAAATAAGCTTTGCACATATTGTACACGAAGAGCTGGCATTCCAGAAACTCTTACGTCATGTAATACCCCTAAAAATTACCCACTCAAGTTATGTATCATATTACCATGTGTGATACATCTCAGGAAAAACACGGTGAGAAGCAAAACCACGGTACTACGGGTGAGAGCTGAAGAGGACCAGCGCAAGGGTTATGCACTGGTTAAGTCCCATAGGGTTGAAATGTGACACTGATGATCCCTAGGGCTGCAGTGTGGTCTATGTGTGCAGAGGCCTTGTGATGGGTTGACATTCATCCCATGGGTCTGTATATTTATTATTCCAAACCTGGGGCCAGGTGTGTCTGACAGCAGACCGAACGCACCAGGAATGGTGGTGGGGAAGGGTACAAGGAGCACCCCTTCTTCCACCCCTAATGTTTTATGTGGAAATAAAGTGCAAATGTGCTTGAGAGACATGGTCAGAGCAGCAGTGGAGGTAGGGACGTAAGTGAGGGGACATTGTCAGGGCATCACCAGAGAAAGATTATTTTAGCTTCTGACTGCTGGATAGTTTGAAGAGGTGACGGTAAAGATCAGGGTGTCCAGAAAGGAGGATAGTCCAAGTGAGAAGGAACAATGGCATGAACAAGGGTTTGGGCAGGGGAGAGAAGAAAGAATCCATAAACCTATGGTAGCTCTATGGTCCCCATTACTGCAGTATCTGAGTGCCTCACAATCTTTAAGGTTAGTTATCCTGATACCAATCATGTGAAGAAGGCAAGTCCTATTGTCCATGTTTTACAGAAGGAGAACTGAGGCACACAGACAGGTAAGTGACTTGGCCAAGGCTACACAGGAAGTCTGTGGCAGGGCAAGGAATATAACTCCATTTCCAAGTCCCAGGTTAGCACCTTAACTACTGGACCATCTTTCCTATAAAGGGAAGGGGTAGATTTAAAAAAAGCCATGGATGCAGAAGTGACAAGATTTGGCGATAGCCAGCATGTGTGGAGAAGAGTCAGAGAGAGCCCCAAAGTTGTGAATGTGAGGGATGAGAAGTACCGTGGATTCCCACCCCACAGAAATAGGGAAAGGGGAAAGCAGGGGGCTTAGAGATGAGCAATTCAATGTCTGCCACGAGGCAAAATGCTACATACATGGAACATATTCTTTTGTCTGCAGTTCTGCAGGGAAGAGATCTCTCTCAGTGGCTCCATCATCCTCTGATTTATCCAGCCAGCGGCCACAAGGGAACTTCAGGCATTGCCCAAGCGATGGGGCATCAATTTCCACCCATTCCAGAAACCAGCCAGCAGAGCCACCTGTAGCAGGAGATTATACTCAGAGTGAATAGCACTTTTCACCAGCAAAGCGCTTTCCAGACAATGAACTAATTAATGAATCCTGCAAGATCCCTGTGAAAGAGGTAAGTGTTATCATCCTGTTTTACAGAAAAGTCACTTGCGGTAGACAGGCTACTGCTAAGTGACTTGCTCAAAGTCCCAGAGGGAGTGAAAACCAGGGTCAGAACACAGGAGGAGCTCACTGGTCACCATTAGACTCTTGCTCACTCTTGCTTCTTTCGTCAGAACTTGAGGCCAATTTTTTCAAAAGTGGCGAGGGGTTTGGGGTGCCTCAGAGTCGGACTGTCCAGTGGGAGACTAAAGGGGCCTCATTATCAGAGGGAGGGTTTGCAGCCCTTTCTGAAAATCAGGCCCCTTTAAAATGTCTGAAGTTAGGCATTCAAAAATGGAGGCATCTGGAACCACTAGTTACATGTGAAAACCTGGGCCCTTTGTGTGAATTTAACACCTGGGTTTTATTATCTGCAGATCCCATTTTGAAATCCAGATCATTTTAAAGCATAGCAATCAGGTGGGAATGCCCTGAATATATACCACAAGGTGGCTATAAAGCCAGACAGAGGATTGGCATCACCCCTTTCATGGAATAATGGTTTTGTACAGCAATTCCCTTGCAACGTTCACTTCTCCTGGGCAGCCTTTCCACCCTGGTGCATACTCCTGCTGTAATATCACAGCTTACAAAAGGATGAAAAAACTGCTGTGTTTCAACACTGCTCACACCTCGTTTGCCACCACTGCTGTACCACATCTAAATTAAATTGCAGGCTCCTTGGGGAAAGAGCCTGTATATTTGTCTGCAAAGCACCAAGCCCATGATGATAATAGTGTCCAGTATGTTAATAAATAAATCATGAAAGGAATATTTCCAAATATAACACATACACACACACACATCCCAATGTGGAACAAGGAAAGCTATGTTGTGCCAGGTCATCTTACCTTTATTGTCATGGCCAATCTTTATTTTTTTCAGGTCTCCAATGTCCACAGATTCCACTGTAAAGGCATCGAGTTTCCCACGCTCAAATTTGTTCTTGTTAGTTTTGGAGGCCTTTAGATTGATTATCCCTGTTTGTTGTAGCACATACAGACATTGTTTAGTGCAATGATATTCAGACCTCAGTGGTTCAGGAGCCAAATTAGCAATCAGCATTACCCCAAAAAGTAGTGTGAATTCATTGTTTCGTTTACTATATAGGTCTGCGTGTGTGTGCGTCTGTGTGTGTGCGTGCGCATATAATTATTCTCACAGTAAAATGACAGCCCGGGTATAATTATATTATCAACTATAATTGGTTAATAACATAGTAAAAGCATCCTGATTGGCAGGGATGCTGGAACAATTTGTATAGTGGGGTGCGGGGGGCTGAGAGTCATTGAACCCAACTGTAAACTCTGTGTATGATGGAAACCACTTCAGACCAAGGGGTGTGGCTGCACCCCCAGCACACCTACTTCCAGCACTTATGCTGATTGGTTAATAATTAAATCACACCGTGTTTTAATATCATGTGCTTCAAAGAGCCGCAGGAGACACATTAAAGAGCCACTTGCGGCTTGTTGGCTGCAGTCTGGGTATCACTGGTTTAATGTATAAAAATCAATACTTTGGGATTGTAAACAGGAACGGGGGATGTGGCAACAGGGTAATAAATGGCCTTTCACCTCTGGAGATTTGGTGTCCAATCTGTCCTTTGTCACGCTGAACCCTAGATTTTCAACTGAATATAAAAAACTCACCAAAATACACATCACATCTCTCTTGAGTTGAGAGGTCTCCCTTCAATGCCACAGCAACTATGCTGTTGAAGGGCCAGTAGGGATGTGGTCCGAGTTGTGTAAGGGAATTTGCCCTACACTTCTCTTCACTGTCTGTCACTGTCACAAATACTAAGATTCACTACATAAGCATGGTGTTGGTCCCAACAGGGTTTACTCATCAACAGATCAAATATTTTTGCAACACCTCAGCAGTTGAAGATGAGCTGGGTTTCTAGAGTGGGCTGATTCCTTGCTGGGATACAAATGAGTTGACCCAGACCCAGTGTTCTGTTTTCCTACTCTTTGTTTTAATCTATGCTGTCAACAATTTGGCTTACACAGCTGGTGTACATTGGCCTAGCTCTATTGAAGCCCATGAAATGACAGTGATTTGCAGGAGCTGAGGATCTATCCCCTAGTAACTAAAATGATAAATAACATTGGCTTCCATATGCACTCTGATAAGAAAAAGACTTACAGCAAGAATATGAAATCATCTTAACTAAGAACAGATATTGTATTGAGGAAAGCAAAAAACGCCCCCCCCCACCCACACACACACACTCCTCAGCCATTTCAGTCAATTATACCAACAGCACGGACCCCATCTCTCTCACACATACATGGGCTGTACTTGGTTCCTACCCGTGTCATCTTTATTTCCATAAAGAATGATGAAGACATTGGCATCTGTCCCAGAATTCTTCTTGTCCCCGGTTTTCACTTTCACAGTATAAGTAGTTGATTTAGCTGTCAAAAAGCATTTCTTAATTTGAGAGTGTGAACACTGAGCAGCTATTAATTCTATTTCTTCTTGTTTCATTGCACGTGTTATTTATTTATTTTTGGACAGTCAGATTGTATTCCTAAAGCTCTGACAGTAATTCCTGTCGCTTGTACTGATATTTGCTAGAGTGAAACAGGACTGTTGGGCTGCAGGATCCGCGACCGCTCTTCATTCAGTAATGCTTTCTCCATCTTTACAGAAGAGAGAGCTGTTCAGACTTCCCATTTCTTTCCTGGGAGTCTCACATGCTTCTCAGATTTGTTTCCTGCTGCAATCTACAATAACATTTCATTTACAGCACCAGATTTTACATAGGCAGACAGCCCTTCACTATATCCGATTTGCATTGTTTCCCACAACACCATCAGCTGAAAAGTGTGGCAAACTCTTAAGAGCTGTGGAAATTCCTAGAAGTTGTCTCCACAACACTACAAAATAATAAGCCAAGATTGTCAAAAATGGGCGCTTAAAGTTAGACTCATCAGTCCATATTTAGGCACCCAAAGGAGTGTCTGATTTTCAGAAGCAGCTCCCACTGAAGTCAATGGGAGCTGCTGGGTGCTCAACATTTTTGAAAATTAGCCCACTTATTCCGATGTATAAATATGGATGCAGGGGCTTAGCTTAAGGCTCTCAACTCCCACTGGAGTCAGTGGAAGTCCAGGACACTCATCACCTTGCAGGATCAGGCCCCGTGATTGCGTCATTATTCAGTTGTTGGCATGGGCAATCAAGCACACTGGATACAAGGTAGTTTCAGGAAGATAAACATAAGCAGAGCTGGCACGAGGCATAAGCAGACCAAGCAATTGCATAGGTCCCCAAGCTGCTCAAGGAGGCCCCATATTTGCTTTTTTAGGATATGTTATGTCTCTGGGGGGGAAATATTCTTGCTTACAGCCCCCAATGGGCTAGCACCACCTTTGATCAGAAGACAGCAGGGTGCTGAATGAAAAAAAGATAAATCTTCAGGTTCCTTCCCTTGATAGCAACAAGTCTCTGGTTTTAGTCACTGACACCTGGTCAGTTTCACATCCAAACTTGTACCCACTGATAACTAATTAGGCCTGAATAAAGACTGGGAGTGGCTGGGTTACTACAAAAAATAATTTTCCCTCTGTTGATACTCACCCCTTCTTGTCAACAGTTGGAAATGGGCCACATGCACCATGATTGAATTGGCCTCGTTAGCACTACAAACAGTAATTTTCCCTCTGTTGATATTCACCCCTTCTTGTCAACTGTTGGAAATGGGCCACATCCACTCTAATTGAATTGGCCTCGTTAGCACTGACCCCCCGTCCCGTCCCCCCCCACACACACTTGGTAAGGCAACTCCTATCTTTTCATGTGCTGTATATTTGTACCTGCCTACTGTATTTTGCATCTGATGAAGTGGGTTATAGACCACGAAAGCTTATGCCCAAATACATTTGTTAGTCTCTAAGGTGCCACAAGGACTCCTCGTTTCCATTGCTAACTAGCACTACTAAGTGGCTATGGTTTTAATGATGGCTGTGCATTCCAATTCAGATGTATTGTAGCACTCACTCCTTGCAAGAGAAAGGGAGAGACTGAAACAGATGTTTGCCATCTTTTTACCTTCCACACACTGGGTCCAGTCTTGCAAGGTGATTAAAGTTCATGAGAACAGGGGAGGGGTGGGGCTCATTATCTTACAGGGCACTGAGTATTTCACATTTTATTCGCACTAAATAATCTCATGATTCATGTCATAAACATACAGCTACGGGTAGCATAAAATCCCTCTTTTACCTGTATGGGGTTAAGAAACTCAAATAACCGGGCTGGCACCTGACCAAAAGGACCAATAAGGGAAGAAGATCCTTTCAAATCTGTGGGAGGAGGTTTTGTTTGTGCTCTCTTTGTTGTGCTCTCTCAGGACAGAGAGAGGGACCAGGTAGGGAAAAAAACCTCTCCTAAAACCCTACCTGAAATAAGCATCTAAGATTACAAAAATTGTAAGTAAAGCAAGGAAATGCGTTAGATTATCTTTTGTTTTAGCTTATGAATTTTCCTTGTCCTAAGAGGGAGGTTTATTCCTGTTTTTTGTAACTTTGAAGTTGAGCCTAAAAGGGAATCCTCTGTGTTTTAAATCTTTTTATTACCCTGTAAAATTACCTTCCATCCTGATTTGACAGAGGTGCTTCTTTTACTTTTTTCTTTATAATAAAGTTCTGCTTTTAAGAACCTGATTGGTTTTTAGTGTCCTAAAACCCCAAGGGTCTGGTCTGTGCTCACCTTGGGTACCTAGTCGGTTAGTATATTATTCTCAAGCCTCCCCAGGAAAGGGGGTGAAGGGGCTTGGGGGGATATTTTGGGGAAATAGGAACTCCAAGTGGTCCTTTTCCTGAATCTTTGTCTAACTCACTTGGTGGTGGCAATGATACCGTCCAAGGACAAGGAAAGGATTTGTGCCTTGGGGAAGTTTTTACCTAAGCTGGTAGAAATAAGCTTAGGGGGTCTTTCATGCGGGTCCCCACATCTGTACCCCAGAGTTCAGAGTGGGGAGGGAACCCTGACAATCCAGGAGGGGACTTTTTCATGGCCTAACAAATACTCTAATTGATAGTGGTCTTAGAGCTATTAATAACTTGTCTTCCTTTTACTCATTGAAAGAAACACAAGACTGATGTAAACCTTTCTGTTCCAGGCCCAGAGATGCAAGAGATTGATGATCATTGTCCGAATCTTTCTTTATAAATGCTTCATCCACTGGAACCAGCTCCCTGGCAATCTGACCATCATCTTCCTCACCTGCCAACCACCGCTGGCATGGGAAATAATACCTGCAAGAATAACAGTGGCACACAGCACTCACACAGGACTTTTCATCTTCAGAGCACTTCACAGACACGAACAGCAGTAATTAGCAAAGATGAGAGGCTCGTTAACAAAGAGTAACAGCACTCAAAGCTGATAAGCATAAATGTGTCTCCTTCCTTGTCTTTTGTTCCATTTATGTGGACTTATCCAGGCCTGGCAATTGATGCCTGCTGATAGATACTGAGTGTCAAGCTGTCAGTCCCGCCTGGCTCATTTCATTTTGAGGCCCAGAAGCAGATAAATAACCTAAGGGTTAATGATGGTCTCACAGCAAAATATACTTTATATTTACACACAACGGACCGAGTCTTGAGGTCCTCACTCAGGTTCCAAACCAGCAAAGCGCTTACGGACATGCTTAACTTTTAATATGGGAGTAGCCCCACTAAAGTCAATGGAACTATTCACATGCTTGAAGTTGAGCACATACTTAAGCATTCCAATGGATTGGGGGCTCACGTTGTATTCAGTCTGCTCCCTCTCAAGTTACTGGGAATTTGCCTGGGTCAGGACCTTTGGATTTAGCCCACTGGTTTATCTCCCCCCCCCACTCAATATATGTAAAAAGCAAACCAAGTGCTGGGTCACAAGCTTCCAGAGTCCAGGCTATAGGAGGGAACCCATACCATAGGTCAAGGACTCTGCAACAGGAATTTCCTTCAAGTGGAGTGTGTTCCTCCTGGAAGAAATGGTAGATTCTGCTTCCAAACTTCACTGGCCCCTGAGTTCCATTTTGATCCCAGAAGATCTCAGGGGATTTTCCAGAGCCCAAAGCTATCAGTATTGAACACTGCTGCCTCATTACTGGCTCTAGGCTCCCAGTGAGTTTGACACCATTATTGCTGGGCTCCCAGGGCTACTTGCACTGGCAACTTACCCCAGGAGCTCTCATGAAGGGGGGTTATAGAAACAGAGACGGGAGCTGTAGTGCCTTTTGAGACGAGTTCTGGATGGGTAATGACAGTGGGACTGATGTGCATCCTGAACACACATCTTTATACCCTCTTCCTACCCCTTGCACAGAGCCAGGGTCCTCTGCACACACGTATGAGAGATTCATCCCCACATCCAACAGCACCATTATTTTAGCATTCTAAGAGGATCATCCAGACTGGATTCGTGACACATGTAACAAAATCACTATGTTCTTTGTATTTCTAAGGCTTTATATTTATCTGACCGGAAGTATGAATCCCATGGGTCCGATCACATGAATGGAGTGCAGCAATCTGCTCACCTGGTGTTGTCCTTGAGATCAACAATCTCCACTCTGTCCAAGAACCAGGCTGCGTTGCCGCTGGAGTTGTCATGACGAATTCGCAGTTTCTTCAGTACTCCCAGATCAATGGCTTTGATGGTGAATATATCTTCCTGCAAGAGCAGAAACAGAGGCAGACTGGTGTTTCACACCCAAGCCTACAGGGAGTCAGTGCCTGGACAGGGTATTTTTTCCATTACAAAAAAAAAGTGAAAACTCTCTCGTGCTTTCTCAGATATTAAAATCATATTATCAGCAGCTTTAATCTGTCTCTCCTAACTCTCAGTCTTTCCAGAGTCCTTATCTCTTCTTGGAATTCACTTTGCAACAAAGCATCTGAACCCTGATGTAAAGGCCCTTTAAGTCCACGGAAAGACTCCTGGGGACTTCAATATGCTTTGGGTGAAGCTACTGAAGAAGTTCTCCCTTTGTCATTTGCAGCGTCCATAAAGCTTACCCATTAACAACAATAACAATTTGACAATACGGTCCTTATCTTCATGCTATTTAGAAACCTTAATGCAATTAGCTTGTTGATAGACTTTGGGCTTCCTCGGCTACCAAAAGCATAAGGTGTTACGTCTCTTTCTTAGAATTCCTCCCACTTAAAGAACGATGCTCAGATTATGATGTTCTTAGATCTGAGCTAATAATTCATAATAAACAGATTACGGGGCAAATTTAGCCTCTTTGCTTGTTGCAAGTTGCCTGCAAGCAGCTTACCATTTTCTCAGTTTTTTTCATTATTCAAAATTATTCTCTGAATAATTCCTACTAGTAACAGTTGCTCTGTTGATTGCAAATTATAACTGGACAGATAGGTCACATGATATTGTTTTTGCTCCCTGACCAGATGAGTGTAACTTTTAGGATCAATTTTCCAATGCAAATACTCAGACATTCAAAATTAATTCTGACATATATTATCTAATATCCATTTAAAATTTGCAGTTTCCAAACATTTCTGCCAGTAAATTACATCACCAGAACACTTGCAGGAATCCAGCCACAAAAGAGGCACAAACCCAGGCGAAGCAAATCCAGTTTTTCATTCAAGTGAATATTCACTGAAATATATATTGAGGTATTTCCCAGCTCTATTTGTTTAAGAGAGAAAACCAGATGTCCAAACTTTGAATTCAAAGAATAGTCTGAGGTTTACTGAGAAGATGGAGCAATGAACGATCAGCAGCTTGTGTTCAAGGACAGAGGATCATACCTGCCTTTCGCTTGCTTGCGTGACTAATTAATGCCTTACCTGGCCCTTCTCAAACTTGTTCAGGTGGTTGGACCTTTTCAGCTGGCGCTCACCAGTGTCTCCTCCTCCTTCGCCATAGATGCTCAAGAAGACATTAGCATCAGTCCCAGCACCCCACACATTCCCAGTGACGACATGGACCTCATAGGTGTTCTCTGTAAGTGAAGTTGCACAGAAGAGATGACATAGGAACGTAAGAACTGTCATGCTGGATCAGACCAGTGGTCCATTATAACAACATGCTGGCCTATAAGCACAGGCATGGCCAGCCCTATTAAGATGAGGTTTGTTCTGAGTTGTGGTCCAGACAGGGCACACGATGGAGAGGGATCTGGTGACTGTCATGTGACCGCTTGCCAGAAACTATATAAAGGAATGCTTCTGGATCATTCTAGAGGAGGTAAGAGTTGAGGTAAGTCCCTCCATGGGAGCTGTCAGTAGGCCAGGAGAGCAAGGAAGAATGTTGTGTCCTCTGCCCTCTTAGCTTGGCTGGGACCAAGTGTTCTGAGTTGTTTACTCTTGTTTCCAATCCTTTTGTGATAATAAAGCCAGCTCTGAGGAAAGGGCCTTGAACTAAACTCTTACTTGGGCTTTATTTCAACCTTCCCTAGCCAGGTTTTTTGCTCACCAACTTATGTAACGCTGACAGACTCCGGTTGTCGGTGGGCAGGATCGAACCTGGGACTCTTGCAGCTAAATGCATGAGCCTCTACTGCATGAGCCAGAAGCCAGAGGGCTGGTAGCTAAGGTTGTAGAACAGACTCATTAATCTCTCTCTTGAAGTGGTCTCACTAGATGGGACAGAGCACCACATCCAGCAGGTGTGTGGGTTACACTTACACTCATCTAGTCTAATATTCAGTCTCCAACAGTGGTCAACACTAGATGCTTCAGAGGAAGTTTCAAGAAACCCCTACTGGACCACTGTGGAATAACCCAGCCATTTAGGACGTTTCTTCCAAACCCCCACGTTTGCTTCTGCTGTGAAGCATGAGGATTTAGATCATATTTTTTACCCTATCTATTGTAATGTCGTACATTCTTGTTAGCCATATAAATGCTGAAGCTGGGTTTTTTAAACCTCCTAAACCCTTAGCCTCAATGATATCTTGTAGCAGTAAGCTCCACAGGCTAATTACATGCTTGCTCCTGGGGGAATTCTGTGCCACTGTGCACGCACAGAATTCATTCCGATTTTTTTTTCTCCACAGAATATAGATTCTGCTGGAGAGGCGCTGCAATTATACATTTTGCCGGCCAGGGGCTGCTGTGGCACCAGAAGAGAGGGCAGCCAGAGGGCGGAGAGGCTGGGGAAGAGGCTGTGTTCCTCACAGTAGAGCCAGGTGAGGAGGCACAGGATGGACAGAGTGGGGCACCCGGGGCTACAGGAGGGTAACAGACTGGGGTTCAGAAGGGCTAGTGGGAGGGACAGACAGGAGCTAGTGGGGTGACAGGATTGAGCCATGAACTGAATGGGAGGGGAGCTGCAGGACCGCATGAGTTTGGGGGAGAGGGGCTGAGGGTCACATGTGGATGCAGGAGGAGGACTGCAGGGCCACATGGGGACTAGGGGCAGGAGGGTGAAGGGATACATAGGGATAGGGCAGATGTGACCGACTGAATGGGAGTGGCTAGGGGTCAGCCAGGGTCTGCATGGGGGAGGCTCCCCAGCTGCCTAACATCCCTCCCCCCCACAAAAAAAATCCTGTTCCCTACTTCTCCCACCCACACCCACCCTCTCCCTCAGCTCTTTCATTACCCCTGACTCCCCCAAGCCTTTGCACTACTTCTGAGGGGTGCAGGAAATACATTTCTGTATTGTGGTTTAAATGAATTACTCAACGTTCTGTATGAATATGCCTTGTAAGGAATCTATTTGTTAAACAAACATTTCCTGAATCTTTTTTTTTGTTGTTGCCTGTATTGTTACAGACATACTTGCTGAGAGGTATTTTGAAAGAAATTACCAAAATAATTGAAATTGGTGTGATTATATTGTGTTATTTTGACAAATAAAATATGCAGAATTTTAAAATGTTTTGGTGCAGAATTCCCCTAGAAGTACATGCGGTGTGAAAAGTATTCGTTTTTCTCATTGTTAAATTTGCTGTTTTTCCATTTCGCTGGGCGTGGGGATGGTGTAGCAGCCTGGCAGAAGCACAGTCTTTGAGCTATCCTGAGTGCACAAGGGGGTAGAGATGAGGGGATATATACGACTTTATGGCATTTCCAGACTTTTGAGTGCTTAACTGTGTACTGCTCTCTTAAATGTAATTTTTTTTTTACTGATTATGAGACGCTTAGGGACACGTATTTACTGCGGAAGTTTACCCTCAAGTCCAGATCCATCCTCGGGTATCAGCTCCACAACCAGCTCCTTATCCCCTTCATCTGTAGCCAACCAGCGGTGAGCCACGAACTTA